ACGTATTACCAGTAAACTTCAAAATTTGCATATGATTCATCAAGTTTACCATTGAATGTAACAGCAGTATCATCATCTCGTACGATCCTAGACCAGGTTTGGGAATTACGCTGATATTTCCACTTGTTTGAAATAGCTACCTAAAAGTGATTCATTTCTTGCTAATCGTTTGAATTCATTGTTTAGTAAATTGGTTTCCCTATTCTAATTATATCGGTCAATAATTCTCGAGGACGAACATGGAGACAGACAAAGAGAAGGGTAAACAGAAAGTAAACACTTATACTTAAAAAAACCAACAGCTTACTCCAAAATAACTACAAACAGACATGTGGATAAACAAATAAATGAAGAGGTTCAATGGTGGTTATTGAAAATTTGGCAGAAAAAAAAAGAACCACTGTATATTGCCAATTTTTTGAATGTTTAAAAACTTCTCAAGTTCGATGTCAACCTGATCGTCGTCATCATCGTAATTGCTGATTGTTATGTCATCATCAATATTTGTTTCCAGTGGATTAATATTAAATCGTTCTGGCTGAAGTAATAAGCGCATATCACTAAAGCGTTCTAAATTTTCACTTTCGTTTTTCGTCTGACTTGAATTGTTGCACTTCATTTACCTATTATTGTGATTCAAATTTTCAATCCTTTTTTGCACGCAAATAATATTTGCAAACCAATAATCAGTTCTTTAGCAATAAAGATATTTTTCAAAGATTATGGAGCACCGTAATTCGATCGCCTTCTATTGTATGCTCCAATATTAGCAATCAATCAGTGAACCCTTACAGAAACACGGTTACCAGAAAGTGTCATCATTTATATACATTACATTTTAAGAAACGTGAAAAGCCAAATATAATGATTGAGAGCATTACATGTTTCCTCAGTACCACGTTCTCAATTTTCATAATAGCACATCGATTGAGTGCATTCAAGCGGCGGAATAGAGCTCGTAGTGAATCGTCATCCAAAAATTCGTGATCTCGTTTTACCGAACGAATATCTATTGGAAAACGATGTTCTGAAATTTGAATTTTTGGAAAAATTTAACTAACAAACTTAGAATGTTTATGAACTGTTCCAATTATGTATTTCCTATAACTTTATTCATAAAATTATGTTGAGAATAGTCATACCAAACAGAATATAAGTAGACAACGTTCTTGTCTAATCAATTCAACAATGTTTTGAAACTTTCTAACTTTCCGTAATTTCTATCTCTTCGAATTTTTAGGAAAAAAAATTAAATTCCTCCCAAAATGGGAAATTTATTTATGCCTTCATAAAGTCGTGCATATTGTGGAAAGCCAGCATCACGTAACCAGCGAACACATTCAGTTGCTTCTTCTTCTGAAAATTACTTGAAATTGCGCATAGACAAATATTGTTAACTAGTAGTAATAACCCTAAAATACTCCGAGACAATAGATTCTTGGACGAAGTTTTTCTAACTCCTTTGTTTAAGAGACAGATGGTGTAATAAAGATTCCTATATCGTATCAAAGTTTTGTGGAAATTTGCAGAACAATTAGCAAATTAAATTAGAGTAAAGAATATTTTCAAGAGCTTAAAGTTTCAAGACTCTAAAATTTTGAATCTCGATAAATATCTTTAACAACAACAATCTCAAAAGTGCGAGGTGAGATAGGACAAGAATAAAGTTAAAATCAATCTGATAAAACCTTCAAGTATATATTGACACTATGATAATCATAAATGATTTTCCACTAATACGCTTGAATTTTATTTAAGGCGAAATAGAAAAGAAAATGAGACAGTCATATCAAAAAATCAACAAAAGTGTAGGAAATGGTTTAATGGATTTTCTTAATCATTTCGACGTTCCAACAAAATATAACTTTACATTTTCTGATTCTAAAAACAAATAGAATACTAAAGGAAGCATAAAGCAATTGTTCTATTCCTGAAAGATTTCAAGCGAAGTTCAGAAACCAAATGTTGATTTTTCAACGTTCAATTTCAATTTACTCTCACTATTTAACAGCAGAAAGCATTCATTCCGTTGAACTTTCCCAAGAATGTTAATTTTCCCAATGTTGAAATCGTACGTTGTAAGTTATCAGAAGAAGTATGGCATCAAAGTGTCTTAAGTAAGCATAAAGCGTAATTTTCATCAAAATTTTCGAATAAGAATACAAAATCAATATATTTTTGTAATAAGTAATCAAAGCTTTAAATAAAAGTTTAAATATCTCAAAAACGAAGAATTTCCTACTGTTAACCAAGTAAATAGAAGAAGGGAATAAGTGAGCATAACATAAATGTGAAATGAAAAATATTCGTCTTATTCCAGGAAAAGGAAAATGAGAGAATGAAGAAAGAAAATTGGTGAATTGGAAGGAACCATAAAACCAGAAAGTTGATGAAGAGCGGTATTTGAAAGATAAAATAGGACTGAAAGTGGATTCATAATGAAGTGAAACATGAACTACGAATATCATAGAGCGAAAAAGAAGAAAATTTCTTTTAAAGATTTATTGAGACGTATCATACATGCACCGAAAATATTTTAGTAATGTGTTACTTGCAGAACTTGTTGCTGAGAAATGGATAGGGGAAGGTGTCTAAATGATGTAAATGCAACGGACACTGTCAAACGTTTATCATTGGAAGATAGTTGAAAAATGATCAAAAATTAGATAGCACCTTTCAATTTTACTTAAAAATGAAATAAGATGAAGTACTTCTAAAGCTAAATAGTCATTTATTGCAGCATAACAATACGATATACTGTTTATTGGAAATCCATTTAAACCGTCACAAATAATTGCCATATAAAATCCATCTTGAATATCGCATCATGATATGAGAACAATAATAACTACAAGATGGGAGAGATATTGTACGAGTTTTGAACTAAAAAAAGCTGAAAAAAATACCATCACTAGGAAAGATCAAACTTTCGGCACTAATAAAAATTCCATGAATGCAAGGATGTTAAAATCTTAAATTTCTGTCAGTTAAAAAGTGGCATCATTTTAAAAAGACGAGCACTGAAATAACGATCGCAACGTTCTGATAATGCCACTGTATTAACTTTTTAATAAAGTATTGTAGAAGATGTCAAAAATGGAGATTCGGTTGTCCAACAGATGGAAGAGATTGTCAACCTCTAAAATAATTAATTTTAACGAATTTTTCCAAACTAAAATTTGAGATTGCAATTTTCATATGTGTTGTTCTATACAAACTTGTAGTTGCATACTATAAATTCCACCTCTATTACTAATATCAAAGAATCATAAAATTCTAGAATATTACTTTTCCACAATGTATATGAATTAGTAGAGAGATTTCCGCATACTCCAACCTTCCAAATACAAATTAGAAGTGAATGGTGTCAGAGTATACGAAATTGTATTTGTTAAACGCAACTGTATTTATTGAGAAAAACCCTGGAATTTTAAATATTTGCATAGTGAATCATTTTTCAATGCAGAACTTTTCATATATTTTTTTTTTAAATAAGACTTAGAAAGAGTGACCGACGGAACTGGAATCAACTGTATTGATTTTTACGGCTTTTCCATTTCAGCTCCATCGCAGAGAATTTTATGGAAGCCATATAGATTTCTTGGACAATAGAATTTAGAAATGAAGAGATAAAGTGGATAATTTCCATTCCTGCTAAGACAAACTTCGAAAATATGAAATCAAAAGTTTGTACAAACAGTTCATTATTTAGAAATACTAAGTCATTCTGAATTCTTGCCAGGAAGAAGAGTATATTTCAAATGGTTAAAGAAATAAAACGAAATTAAACAAATGGTATACGATGAAAAATGGACACCAGAAGTGAGATAAAAAGTAAATATTCAACAAAGCATGACATATGATAATTCTGCTCTGTCATCCCAATTTGTTCTAAATTTATGAAGTAACTTCTTATTTCCTTCCCTTTTCGACTGATTCTGGAGAAGTTAGAATCAATAAATCCCGAAGATTCGGCTATTGATTCTCGAAAGATAAAAATCTACAAATCTCATATGAAGATGCACGGTTTTATAAAGCGAAAAAAAAAAAACACAGAACAAACATGCGTCTTACCAGGTTAACCATATTTAACAAAGCATTTTACGTAAAATTCCAGCAGCGTCACAAGTCTTGATCTGAACCTCCTGAAGTTCAAATATTGCATTTTAGATTAAGACTGTAACAAACTGTTTCTGGGAAAAACGAATTATGTCTGAAGTAATGCCATTAGGGGCGCCACAGTTATTTTGAAGATAAGGTTTATAAGAAACAAATGTGGCTTCGCTGAAGAGTTTGCGGAGAAATCAAAATCAACAAGTATTGAAAGACATAGAAAGGAAAGGAAGAGAGAGAGAGAGAGAGAAAAGTTAATGATATATCTGCTTCCAATTAAACTTTTATTTACTGTTCCATTAATGCTCTCTAATGTTTTTGTGGCACAAAAGAATCGTGCCTTACAACAAACGCATCGATGATACGGATAGAACTGAACTGAAATCAACACATTCTGATAAGACAATTAAATGTTTCAAGTCAAGTCACATTTTATCTTGAAACTATATCGGAATAGGAATGACACATTTGTTCATTTCTCTTCCGAAGGATGATTTCAAATAAAACAGGAGTAGTAGAGTGTGAAAAATTAGTAAGAAATGAAATTTAAAAGAACATTTTTTGCAGGAAAAATGCTAGAGTTCGAGAAACCGGAAAAGAGAGAGAACAAAGGTCACCTCAACAACGATACAAGAACAAATTAATTAAAAATTTTGCGGAATCCTTGTAATAGGAGCGCTTATATGAGCAAAAATTAACTCACATATTTTTCAAGTCCCCTAATTTATCTTTTCAGAATTTGGGCAACTTAAAAAATGGTGAAGTAAAATCTTAAAATTTAATTTTATTAACAAATTGGAAGAGAACAAAAACAGGAGCATCTCTGATGCATTTCTTTGTAGAAATTTTAAGCAATGTTAGTAAAAGTTCGCCAAAAAGTCCACTTATTATATAACGGCGAAATCAATATCTCTCATAAATAAGCAACGGACGAGAAAGCCTAACTTACCGGCTTTCTGCTTCTTTTGTGTATACAACTCATTGCTCGTCTGCAAATGAAAGTTCAATTTTACGAAATTAAATAATATCGCAAAGAAAATATGAGCACAAACTTTTCATGATTTTATAACATGATCTCTTACATGATACCTATGCTTAAACAAGTTGAAAGTACATTCCTCTTAACGAACCTGTTCAGTAAAATCGACATTTAGCTCTTCACAGCTTTCTGCTCGTTCCGGAACACGTCCAGCACTGAAATCAAACAAATCAGACGCTACTACCACCGATAAAGCACGATTTTCCGTATCCAAACGAGGTGAAGGTGGTGGTGGTGAACGAACTTCTCTGCCAATCGTGTCCATTTCAAATGATGATGAGTCTATCTCTATCTATAAAAATCTCATTTATTCATTTGATGTGCAAATTTTTAGCAAGCACTTATTGCAGACACGGTTAATGAATCATCATTAAATTACCTGCGCCAAGTGAGACTTATTCTTGTCAGCATTTGGCTGTTGCTTCTTGTATCTACTGCTGTGGCACAAGCTGATCGCAGCTGGAGCACCTGGAGTCATTGGGGAGCTCTCGCTATCAGCCAAGCCAGAGCTAACACTAATATCACGCTGAGATATAGCGCTGTCATTCGGTGATGCCAAATTGTCCATAACTTTCGGGTCATGAAACAAGATGACATCATGATCCACTTTTGTCGACGGTGATGTTGAGTCTGCTACTAAAACTAATTCATTTTAATACTTGATCTTCCAACAGAGGTAAAATTTCGCATTATCAGTGCAAAATCTTATCTTTGTTAATGAAAAAAAAAACGAAAATATGCGATTTCGATATTCTAAATTTGGCAAATTTATAAGCGATGGTCAGGATTAAAATAACCTGACAAAAGGTTTAGTAAACAAGAATTTAGGAACGATCTGCAGCTGCAGTTGAAGAAACCTTGCAGAACCTAATTTTCAAAGCTGGTTGAGTGCGACGTTTTTGCTATCATCTAATTATCTTCTCTGTTCATCAGCTGATTAACTTATTTTCGAAAATTGATTTCCATAAACCAAAGCACAAGTAGCATAATATTCAAAAACACTAACTTTGGTGAAAGTAAAACAATCGGAAAAATAGAATCAAGTCTTATTCGCATTGCTTAAAATAATTTCACACCAAATTCACAGCAAATTGGAGAAAAGTCAATTCAAATCTAAATAACACAAACCATTGTTGTCTTTTCTGGACAACTGAAGCGAAGCAGTAGCGGCGGTAATTGCAGTGCTACTAACATTTCCCGAGAGCGATGCCTGCAGTGTTGCAGTTTGCTTAATTCCATGAGGCACATTATCATATATGCTACCATTCATAGATCCTTGTGAAGAGCCTTTCCGTTGGGTGGTCAAGCCAGTGGTACCACTACCATTACCATTACCCGTGGTTGATGTAAAACGTCGGAAGAATTCTGCAATAGAATTTCATGAAAATTTCCAGCAATACATGTTTTGCTTTGCTTAACAATGAACTTCTAGTTCTCTGTTCCAGAAAGATATCAACAGACCAAAGTGTGGTCATTTCCGCTCTTTCTGTCGTAAACTTTTTATTTCATTTCTGTTTCCACCTAAATTTCTCCAACTTTCCAACAGATTTTTAAAAACAAAAAAATCAAATTTTTTAAGAAAGGAGTTCCGGAAAGTTTCCTAAAGCAGCACAAACATTAAACTCAAAAACGAAGGACACTATGTTCGAATATGCCCAAAGATGTATGCAGCATTATTGAGACACAAAGATGTAATTCATTCCAAATTTGATGAAAAATAGAAAAAAAAAAACAATTCAGTGCGTTGTTTGCTTATCAAATGACTTTCAACCAATTTTTTTTTTCCAAATTTAATTGGGTTTGAAAATTTGCTTTACACTGAAAAGACATTGCTATTCTGGAGGAAATACAAAGTAATGTTAGCGAAGAAAGGACTGGTTTGATAGAATATTGAAGAATTCATAAAAATTCTTTTTTTTTTCTCTTTGTAGTTTATCAAAATCGGTTGGCAAAGAAATGCAATGAGATTCTTGATTTTTTAATTAATTGAATTTGAGCTTGAGGAAAAATGACTCATCTATCCATCTTTTGCCACTCTAACTGCAAATTCGAAATCAGATATGCATTGGATTTGAAAATAAAAAATAATTAATTAAACCGAATGAAAAATGTAAAATAAGCATTAACCTCGAAAATTTTGTACGAATCGAATCATCGCAAGGAAAAATGCAGGAAAGCGGTGATAGGTAGGAAGAGAAATGGGGATGACAACGATGACAAAGCAAGCAAACAATGACAAGCAATATAATCATATCAGTATCATAATCAATCATATCAGTGAATGCTGTTGCTGCTGCTGCTGCTGCTTATAATTAAAATATAGACACACGCTTAATAGTATTATAGTGAAAAGAAGTGTGGTGACTAATGGGAGATCGCAAACAGTTCCTAGCTAAGCAGAATATTTTAGAAATGTTAGCCTGAACGATACAAATGATGTAATGTGGCGCTTGTTGCAATACGAAATGGGCAGGTTGAGTCAAAACCAACAGAAGGAAATTCTGATTTCATTTGAATTGTAAGGAATCATCATAATTGGAATGAAAAAGTAAGGTGAGAATTTGACAGGAATCAGTTATTTTGAAATAATTCTTACATGACTCATTACCATAATAAAACCTTTATGTGTTATCATCTCCCGAACATATATAATGACTAAAAACTTAAATCGATCAGTTTCGAAAATTTTAAACATGTATTTTCAGTAACATCAAAAGACTCTATTAACAGACACTGAAAGCTACCAAATACCCTTACTTATTGCTTTCACAAGTAGTTCCGTGTCCTAACATAGCTACAATAAAAGTGTTTTTTTCTTTTTGGAAATTTTGGAAATCCCTTCTAATTTTTATTGCTGAGTTAAGAGGGAAGGAATGAAGATGCGAATGCAATAATTTACGTCAACTGACCATCTGCTGCAGAAAAATGGACGATTCGACATCTACTGTAAATCATTCTCATGTCTATCTTTGTCTGAATGTAAATGAATGACCGATCGATCGCTTGCAAAAAATAAAAACAAGAACATGAAGAATAAAACAAAGGATGGAATTTCGGTATTTTTAAAGATTCAAATAAAAATTCTCGTTTTCCCAAATGTAAAAATCAATCCCAAAAATTTTTCATTCCCAAATTAGATGCAAATATTTATTTTGAGAATGACTTAATATGGTTTTGTTAGAAAAAAAAATCGGAGATTTCAAGTGATATAAAATAATTTATAACAAAACTTGTTCTTAGCTATGAATGATATTTCCATCAATAGAGTTATGAGTATGGATAAGCTGTGATTAGAGATAAAGTGAAGATTGTCTAACGGAGATCAGACCTTATCCAAAACAAACAAACAGTTACAAATAATGTATAACAGACCATTCTGATTCTTGGTCGATGATATCCTGTTTCTGGAAATATCAGACGGAATTTCATGTGACAGAATTGATTCACTATGTCGAATATCATTTGTAAGCTGTAAAAATGAAATGAAAAAAATTCTATTATAGCTTGAATGTTTGTAAATTGTAAATTGCTATCACTTATTGATATCAAATGGAAAATTAGGAGATAAATTAAAATCTAGTTGAAAACGTTATTTATTACTTTTGCAAGATTTCCACTGGTGACAGGATAATGCAATTCTCGGTTTGGCACAACATCCAAATCCTCAGCATACTCCAACAGCATTGCTATACTCTCGTCAATACTTTCCGATGATCTGCAAAGATGACAACCTAAACCATACTTTGTAATAGCGAGAAATTAGTTCTTCCTAAGTCACGAGAATTACCGTAATGCAGAATCTGATATTCTTGACTCTTCTAGATAAGATTGCTAACATTAAATATGAGAGATATAAGTATCTGTCACTTTTCTTTTCAATTCTTGCTGCAACAGAAAACATACTGTATCTTCCTTTCTTCGAGCAAACTACCACATATTTCCGTACTTTTGCGCGACATTCTTTGAATTTCCTTGTCAACAGTATGAGATGATTCCGCCTGTGTTAAAATACTATCAGGTTGAAAATGATAGAATTACTTACTCATGCAAGCACTGCGCCTATACATTTCGTTCGCATCCAAATTTTACTTAACTTAGTGGTAATATTATTTTAATGTAGAATGAGCTGTAATTCATTTTCTCAATAAAGTAATTTTCAGAGAATAAATAGCTTAAGTTGGCAGCAGAGATGCGGAGATGTTAGTGATGCACTTACAATTTGATTTAACGAGGAATATTCAGGGTCTTCAGGAAATCTCGGAGACTCTGTTGTAGTAATAATAAGTTCCTCACTGTACTGATCCTCAATGGATGATTCGTTGAGCCAGTCGAAGGAACTGGATCTGGATAACGAGTACGGACTCGTCTGAGTACCAGTTTCCTGCAAAGTTATATTCTTCTGAAGTAACAAGTTAAACATGAATCTCTACTTCCTATCTATCAATTAATTGTTCGAAAATATGTAAATTTGAGAATTTTGAAGACAGTAAGTGGTTAGAGAAAGATTAATACAAGAGTGAGCAGAGGTTAATGTCACTTTTTGTTCGATTTTCAATAGAAAGGAAATTGTCTCCTGAAAATTTAAATTTCAATTTGTACTATCCAAGTTTTTTTACACTTCACGTTTATTTTAAATATATCAATTTCTTTTTTTAAAAAAAAGCCAATGTATTATATCAATTAATTCCGTAAAATCTCCAGATATAATTTGAGTGATTAAGAAAAGCAATTTTCAGCAGCTTTAGTTATCAAACTGTGCTTCGGATTTGTAGAAAAAATGTGACAAGTGGATATCATAAACTTAGGTCAATACGATTGCTCAAGGTTATAACAGTAGATGATTTTTGCACGTTAACAGAAAGAACAATAAGTACGTTAATGGCGTGCGCACGCGTGTTCTCTGACAAATTCTACATAATTATTTATATACATGTGTGTACGTAAACATGAATTCATGGTGACTATAGAATTTCGCAACAATGACGGCTCGACGTGTAAAAGTTGATCTGCAGACGATAGAGGTCAGAACTCACAAAGCTCAAAACAAAAAAGGGCTCCAAATAGACGGCCAAGTTCAAAGGGATAACTTAATTCATTTTGCAAGACGGTACATGGTAATTTAACCGCGACAAAGTTTCTTGACAAGGAGAACTGCAGCTTTGACGATCCACAATTATTGAAATCATCCAAAGTATAACGTTAACTTTATCACTACTGTACTCCAAATTCATAATAAGTTTGAATTTAAATTAACCGGTTGATGTTTTCCTCTAGTATTGCTTGAAGCAGTAAAAACAAGAAGAAAATTACCGCAAACTTATTTATACGCGAATTACCACCAATAAAAACAAATAAACGAATAAGCAAATAAACTACACAAATATTATAACATGTCGATCTAAATTAACAAGGACAAAAAAGAAGAACGAAACTGGTGCCAAATTAAAATTGTTCATATCCCCTAATCCCATGAATACTTTTATCTTTCCCAAAAGTTTCAAATCTGCTTTTAAATCAATTGATTTGAATTTAACTCAATCCACTTTTAGTTTATTTTTTATACCTTGCTTGAATACTACTATAGTTTCATAGAAAAGTGATATAAAGCATCTGAACTTGAGATGAAGTCATTTTTTTTTTGTGCACCTTCAAAAATTAAAAACAAATGCATCCACCAACAAATAAACAAACGAACAAACAACATCGATGCGGGAGGAAATGATGAGAAAATAAAAATATGGCAGTTTGTTCAAGCAAGATTATTACTGCAACAAGAGGACAGCAACTTCGGAAATATTCCAAAATCAAATTCCATCAGTATGCCAAAACCGACAGGTTTTCAATTTTTACAGAATAATCATTGCGGAGATGATTTCTCTTAAGCGACAAATGCCACTTTTATACATCGTTAACCGACAGGGGAAAAAATTGTTAAAAATGTGAATGATAGTAAATTACCTGTTGTTCAGAAGTGGCAATAATGGTAGCAGTTGTGGTTGGTTGTTGAAGCTTTTTATTAGTGAGATTCAATGATTTAGGCTTATCTGGTGCCTTAAAACGTGTCTCTTCCGCTGCCTGTATCAGTGACGCAACGATGCCGTGTACCGATTTACTGCTTCCCTCAACGTTTCCACTTAAATCGCTACTTATAACTGCTGTACTTGCAGCTAATGTTGCTGTTTTATCAACTGGTTGCTGAACAGTTGTTAATGTTGAATTTGGAGTGCTACTATTGTTCACTTCTTTGGTGCCATCAATAACATCACCAAATCTTTCAAGCTTTTGCGCACGATATTTAGCCTGAAAATTTATGAAAATTTCAAGCAACTGATTTTTATAAAAAAAGATTTTTAAAGTATTTATTCTTATGCTTTACTTTTATTTTATTATTGAAAGTTGAAGTTAAAATCATTAAGGTAAAGGTCAGTTTTCTTAACTAATAAATGAAATTCGTTTCAGTCAATGACCTGACTAATAAAAAATTTCGGAAGTAATATTAAAAAATCCTCTTCAGGATTTCTTCAGAGAGTTACAAACCAAATTGTGTGATAAGATATAGGATAGATTGGAAGAGAAAATCAAAAGGAAAAGTGAATTATGGATTATATCTCGGAAAGCACCATTTTAATTGCTGTATATGGCAAGTGAAAAGGGATAAGTAAATAAGAAAACTAAAAACAAAGCATGCAATGTGATGTAAGTGTAAGTTACATAACTTAATGATTAATGAAACGGAATCGAAGTGAATAAATGCAAGTTAGTGATCGGGAAATAGTTTATCAATCAGATAATAAATAAATGGTAAAAGTGTCAAATATTATGATGAGGGAAATGAACATAGAAAACATCTTTCTATCGCAGTGAATGCAAAATCTGACCAAATGATAAGAGCGATCATTGAGAGTCACAAAAAATTTTAAAAGATGAAGAATAGATGTCACTTCCTGTCATTCAAATTTCAAAAAAAAAAACAGTCAATATGAAGAGATAATTTTACACCGCAAGCATCTGAGTGAAAACAATTTTCTTTTTATTATTAAACATCAATGAATGGTTGCATAGAGGAGTGGTTGCATAGTGAAGCAGAAGATGAAGTGATATACTTCAACTAGAGAAGAATGCATGACAACACATTTTTGTCCATTTGAAGATGCTCATGGTCATTAGTAATCTCGATATCTCATGTCCACAACTCATCCATTCCATTTCGAGAATAATTAATGATACAACCTTTTGTATCATGCATTCATTCACAGAGATACGATGCAATATGTTTTTGATGTGTTGAAAGAATACGGATTGTACGTGTTGATGTTATTTACAGATAGTTGTAGTAGTAGTAATGATACCGTTGATGGTTTTGATGATGAGGACGAAAATGTACCGGTCACCGTGAACATCATCTTAGCCACTCACTTAAAACAGCCGATCTTCTTCGTTTGGTATTTTCTGATAATTTGTCTTTATTATCAATATCAACTTCCTTGTTTCAAGTTCATTATCCTGATCACTGTAAAACTACTATATCTTTGTACTGCAGGTAGTGCTACACCATACGCGATATAGCATGAAGTGTATGCATGACAATAAACAAAGGATGAAAGTGAAGAATGTTATGGCCGTAATATCCAACAAAAGGTCAAAAGTCAGGCACGTGATAAATGATGGGATAAAACTGAAGACAATAAAGGAATTATCTAAATTCCGAAAGGATAAATCCTCTGATTTCCTTTTCACAATGGAATTGGAATATTTTATTACGTAACAATTCATCCCTTAATAGGTCGTTTATAACAAACTATTGCACAAATTTCAACCTCTCATCCCTTTTGATTTAATTTTCATCAACGAAAGATTGAAACTATGCATCAATTTGAACTTCTGTTCAACTTACTGACAATCATTTAAGGAGCGGGAATGGTTTACTGTAAATTTAATGCAAAAGAAAGTTGGATGAGAAGAGCAAATCCACCTTGAAAAGCATCCTTTTTAAAATTCTAACTGAAGGTCGGCCAAATCATCTATAAAAAACCGCTTCTGGAATTGACTTTCGCAGAGATCCCACCGAGAAATGATATTTGGATAGTTAATGTGTAAATGAACACAACAAATGTTGACAAAGTGGAGAAAATTCGATGACTGATGGAAATTCCGCAAATTAAAAAACGTGTTAACTACCGTTTGAAAGCAAAGAAGAAATATGTATACATGGACATTTCTTCCGGAAACAAAGGAACACCGTTATCGATAAACTTGTCAATTTTCGAATGTTATATTTAAAATCAAGGGATGAAATGGTGGAGAGCGGACGTAACTTGGTAGGACAGAGTAACAAATATACTTGAATGAATGCATAAAATGAAGATATATAAATGTTGACGATGGCAGCCGTTAGAGTAGAATGACATGTGACAACAAATTGGTAGAAAGAGTTGTAATAGCGGTGACTGTCAACTTATCCATGTGTAAGGCATGCCACCTGATGACGCATATCTGATATATCGATATGTGTAACTTACAATCGCTGCATTTTGTTGGGTAATATCCGCTCATCCATTAGGATTTACGTTTATTAATCTACTGAATTTCTCATGAAGACAAGTGCGCAGGGAGCGAGAAGATTGAAAATATTTGGCAACAATGGCAAGAAAAACCCATCCAGCAGCAACAGTAACAACACATTCCCTACAATCCCAATAATTTCACCTAAACTTTGCCGCTACCATGAATTTCTCTGTCTATTCTGTAAATAATAAGAAAGTGAATTCAGGTAATCCTACTCTTTCCGGATTAATTTATCGCTTTCATCTTTCCGAAAACTATTTAATCATTCAATTGGAAATGCTCCTATTTGTACAATACATAACATACCATTCAAATATCATTACGCCATGCAAAAGATGCCTGCCTAAACAGCCTAATAAATCGAAAGTAACGAAGAAAATGAAATGTATGCTCTTCAAAAGGCTACTTGTAAGCTCAATAGTGAGAAGCGTGAATAATAAAAGAAGAGGGAAGTGGAAAAGATGATGAAGGACAGATAAACAGAACACACACACACACACACACACACACACATATACATACACATACACACATACACACACATACATAGACATACACACACGCACATACACATATGTAAACAATAATAGTGCCACTAGTTGAAGACCCTCGAAAGTAAGCAGTACCCTTTGTCCTGTCATCTCATCTCGGAAGACGAAACGAACAGCTCACTGATACAAGCAGTGAGTGGACACATTGGAGGATAGACGGATGGACGGATTATTCAGCAAATGAAATCCTACAATATCAACAACTTTCAATACTATCAGAAACGCAGCTGCTTGAAGGCCTACCGATAACAAATATTATGTCTTAAGCTCTCTCATGTGTTGCAATATCCACTTTATGGTGACAATAAAATCAACGCAACAATTACCTCCCTAAAAAGCTATGAGAGCAATAAGTGTGGAGAAAATCCCAATAAATTTACCCGTCAAAGCTCTTTCCGTTTAACCTTCTATCAAACAGAATTAAAGGTTTTTTTTTCTCATAACGTTGCTAATATTATAATTTCGACTATTATCTCAATTTTAGCGGTCATTTCACATTCCTTCGAAATTCATCTCAAAAATTCCAAAACTGCAAGAGGAGGAAGCAATTAGAAGCAGGACAACTTAGAGAGAAGGGAATTTTTCCTGTTTACATAAATGATTAAAGATAAAAAATCAACGATCCGTGAAAAATCGCTAAATGACCAAAAGGGGAAAGGAATTCTCCCTCATTTGTTAAACACAGTGAAAATTTTGCAAATCATTAATCCCAAAAAAAAAGTTTCCAGAGTCTTTTAATTTGGAAAATTAAAACAAATTTTTTTATTTTGACAAACTGCGCTTACATTTCCGATTTTTATTAAGTGCAAATATCTTAGAAAGAGGGAGAAGGAGAGAAAGAGAGAGCTAATTCCAATGGCACAACCAATTTAAAATTAAGCACTCTACCGGATCCGATCGCTTCTAAAAGGAACTACCGAATGAAATTAAAGGAAAAAGTGAGTGATATATATGAATGGATCCAGATAAATTTAAATTTGCCATCAATTTAATTCGTTATTTATCAGAAGAAATACTACCATAATTCTCAAAAATAAAGGGAAATAATATTTCAAATGAATGCTACAACTTTTTCAACTCCAAATTTTTTCATTTTACAATTATGGAACAGTAAATGTGAATTCAATGCAAATTATAAATGGCTTTTATTTGGATGGAAAAATAAATAAAATTTCTGAAATTTAAAAAGTGTAAGAAGAAGAAAGAGGAAGAAGGAAAGAATGTTTATCCTTACATTTTACGTCAATCGACAAAAACGGATTCCCTGAAGAGGACCAATTCTGGTAGTGGATGATGTTAAGGGGAAAAAAACCGAACATTTTCTTCTTCATCATCATTCCTTCTCACACCCCCTCCCCCCCCTCCCCTCCCTTTTTGGATCTTAGAAAGAAGGAAAATTTTGTTATTGCTTGAAGTGATCAATTATTAAATACTCTTTTCATTTCGTTTTCCGGTGAAGATGGAAGAAGAAAGCTGACTCAACAAATTCCTTTTTTATTCATTTGATTCATTTTCAAATTTCACAGCATCTATTTTCATATTTTCAAATGCAAAAAAAAAAAAA